TCTATTCTTTTCTCTTTAGGCATCGTCGAGAACGCGAGCGAAATAGGAGTCTTAGGGTTTTAAAGAACGCGAACCCCATGTGGCAGGGAAGAGCAAGAGAATATGAACGAATGTTTAATTAATTTTTTCCTTTTTTTTTTTCACCTGTTCCAGTCTCTCCCTCACTTCGCTCTTTTTGGCTTGACTTTAAAAAAAATTATAATAGATAAATAAATAAAGAATGGACGGGCTTCCACTTCTGTGATGTTTCACATTGCTCTAGTCGACCAATCAAAATCCATGGGTGATTCTGAATGGAAGCGGAACTGTGTCACAGAGGTTCTCAGTCGAAAAAAGATCGTTCAATTTTCTCTCTCGTAAAAATTAATTCAGTTAATGTTTTCCGTTTTCTTTTATTGTTCTTAATCTTTTGGCTGTGGATCAGTTCTTCTGCGCTGTATCTTTTAAAACAGAAGTTCTTATCTTTTTTCAGGTTTCATCGCTCAACCAACGACTCGAGTAACGTGAAAGAGAGTTTGAATCGCGACTCCGGAACATAGACGAGATGAACAGACAGTCGGTGAATAAACTCAGAGAAATGTTGAATGGACAACAGAAACTTGGAGTACAGTACGTTACACAAATGTACACAATTTTTCTTCACTCTCTACCCTGGATGGGATACTTGTCAGTTCTTCTACTTCCCTCTCCCCGTGTCATAAACGTAAGGTTTATGGAGGACGTCACTGGTACTCGTTTCCCATATTAATGCTGACTGCAGTGAGAGTGAAAGACCCCAGTTCGGTTGGTGACGCAGGAAGCGTTATAATACAGAAATAAGACTAGAGAATTCAATTTACTCAGGCAGACCTTCTTGGATTGTAGCATTCTTGTTATTTCATGCAAAAATTCATTTTCCCTGTTTCCTTTTATATCACCTATTCACTTCATCAAACCATGTTTGAATTAAATTTGACATGAGAAACCATAGTCAGTGACAGGAAAGTAAAGACTACCTGCTAGTGAAGCAAGTAATCTCTGACCTACTCTTTAAGGTGAGGTCAACTTAATTGGAATGAAGCTTTGAAAGAGGCATTTTAACCGTGTTCAGTCAAACAGCTTATAAAAATGATTAAGCTCTAGAGTGTTTCTAGGTCTAAAAGTAAAATTCTTCCCGATGAGGATGGGATTCGAACCCACGCGTGCAGAGCACATTGGATTAGCAGTCCAACGCCTTAACCACTCGGCCACCTCATCTTCTGAAAAAGATTTGTGATGCGTCCAATTCACATCTAGAGCACCAACGCAGAAATTTGAGCAAACAGTGAATGAGCTGAGGTAAGTTTTTATTTTCCTCACCATTGCCCTTCTGTTGTCCATAATCTATTGCGCTTCTTCAAAAACAAAGTTTCGGTTTCCACAGCAACTTATACTTCTTTAAAATAATCTTTGTTCGGTTTAAAACTTACGCCACATTGAAAACTATTCAAAGTATCGCCTGGAACTTTGACTGAGGAAAAGATTAGGGTCAGTATGGATTTTTTATTCATCTTTTTAGCTTTTCAAACAGTTATAATCCCTTCAATTTTTATTCACAGTGGGGTAAAACCCCCCAAATCTTTACCCTAATGTACACTTTTATACCTAAAATGCGGGCTAAATCAGCGCTAACGCCTCTCAGCCTCCAGCAGAACAACTTTCATTGAAGTTGCATTAGAAAAAGAAAAAGGGTGAAAAGAGAAAAACACTCTGAATTGCTCCTCAGCAAAAGGTGTTCACTTCATTGCTTTACCTTCTCTTTACTAGACAAGAGATTAACAAGCAGAAACGAAGAAATGATGAACTGAATGGCCAGTTGAACGAGGAGAGGCAGGCGAGAGAAGAGGTACTACTCAACAATAGCCTTTAAGCGATTGTCGTTCTTAGTATTGGAAATACATGTTGTTGTTGTTTGTGTTTAAAGTGAGTGCACCCCAAAATCTGTTTCATTCGCCTTTCTGTCAAAGTTTGCGTCAAAGTAGTTTTGGTGTTTATGATTCCTCATACGGGGAAAATTACGATGATGGGGCACCATCAGGAGAGGAAAAAGTGTCCCTTAAGTAGGAGAGTCCCTTCATTGATGGTAAAAGACACGAAACACGAGCATCCTTTTTCAAATAGGGACGAAAGATTTGCTCCTCAAACAGAGGTGTTGCGAGGGAGAGGTTCCGCTCTTGCTGTTTAGAGAGTTTTTACCCTGGCTGCTAACCTTCTACTTTCCTTTTATCCTCTTTGCAGTTGGAGTCCAAACTTTCGTCATCAAAGCTTTCTCACGAGAAACTTCAAAGTATGGTCGTCGATGCAGAAACAAGAGCAGATGCAGCAAGCCCTCAGGTATAATAACGACATGTCTACACGTAGTGCGCTATTCTGTCCTATCATACCGACATCTTTTTTTTTGTTGTATGTTGTTGTTGATTTAGTTATTTCCTCGTTACTATTTTCCCGTGAAAGAGCTAACCAATCAACTCACTTACTCACTAATGCTCTTTAAGCCTTTTCCCCCTAAGATCAGTATGCATATTCTCCATACTGTTCTCTGTACACCTCCTAAGGAGAAGACAAGGAGAATTTATTCACTAATTAAGAGCTTCCTTAGTTGATTATCATTTTCTTTCTTCTCGTGACCTTAATGTGTGAATTAGGGGTGATATTGTAAGGAGAAATTAGATGCTTGTCGCTCTCAGGGTTTAAAGGCTTAGGGTAGTCCGGGATTCCATTGATCTTTCGTTGCTGTGGTTTTTGTTTTACAACTGAATGCACGCTAAGAAGACGCTAAGAAGAAAGAGTTGCTCGTTTCCTAGCTTTCTTAAATTTTCTCTCAGTTCCGTCCATTTTTTTTTAAGAAAGTTGCTTCGGCCTCAGTTGTTTTAACACTATAGGTATTCGGCACCAATAATTATAATTTATTTTTCCTAGATAACTACACTTTTAAATCGTGAGAGACAACTTTTACAAGAAAGAAAACTCGCCCACCGCGAATTCGAAAGACTCAAATTAAAAAAGAGTCGGCCTAGGTACAACAGAATCCGGGAACCTCCTCAAAGACTTTCGGGCTTGTTAAGCACCGCATACGCTAGAGCTTCTGCTTATTAGCCTGCAGTTCGTTTGGACCTGAAGTCTCCAAGGGATAATGGGTATTTGCGAGAACTTGGCGCTATTGGATCCAGAACAAGTTACAACAGAATTTTAATAGACAGAGTTACACTTTGATGAAGCAGGAAAACATAGTTGTACATAGAGAATCTCTAATAACCACTCTCAGTGACTTTGAGCTCCTTCCGAAGTATTTGGTCTCCATCAAGGAAAGACGTGATGTGCAACACGTCCATGGCTATTGCGGTAGATGAGTTTGCGAACTGATAACACTTCGATCAAGCAATGACAGATTTTCAGTTTAATGCCAGAAGTAAATTGGGACCGATTGGTTTTGCTTTACTTCGTCGTGTGGTTTGTCCCGAAACTCACGCCACTTTTTCAACCAATCAGATGCAAGACTTAAACAAATTACTAATCGGAACTCACGTTTTCCCGCGCTTCAGTTCTAGTTGTCCCTTGGCGATATTTCCTTTGTTCTGATTAGATGCATTGATTACTTTTCTTTTGCATTTACATCACTCAAGTGATGTGAACTGTATAATGCAATATTTCTGTCGGAAGTAAACGAAAATCAGCATTGTCCTTAATATGACAATGTTATTTATTTCTAATGTCTTGAATGGCAGGATTGTCTTAATCTTCTGGTTCATCTTTCATCTTTTCATCTTTCAATCTTTTTTTTCTTTTCAAAAAGACCGATATTAAGTCGGGAGGTTGTTTACAAAACTCATAACTGTGGCGTATTCTTCCCGCTTGTGTAAGCTTAAAAATATCATACCTATATCAAATAAACTCTACTGGATTTTAAACCAATCGCACAACTGGTTCTCGCACGTTCTTCCTCTAATCGCAATTTTAAACAGAAGTCAAGTCCAAACTTGTATTAATCAGTAATTACGTGCGTCTTATTCAATATCCTCAGTTAAGGGTTCTATTATGTTATTCACCCACTACCTTTTGTTTGTTGTTAAGTGCTCGCTTAAATGGGCTCTGTGGCTGATGAGTGATCTCCAAATTCAATTTGGGTAATCCCAAGCTCACGGTAGCTTTCAGCAGTCTTCTTAAAATCTTCACCCAATAACTTTTGTCTAATGTTTAATGCTCACGTGTGTTACTCAGTGGTTCAGGTGTAATCTCTAAGCATATCCTAGGTAACCCCAAGGTTATGGTGGCTATCAGCGGTCTTTTCATAGTCTTCACCCAATACCCTTTGTCTGATGTTAAGTGCTCGCTTGTGTGACTCAGAAGCTGATGTGTAATCTCTATGCGTACATTGGGTAATCCCCAGCTCATGGTAGCTGTGAGCGGCGTTCTCATGATCTTCATCCAATACCTTTTTGTCTGATGTTCAGTGCTCGCTTTTGTGACTCAGGGCTGATTTGTAATCTCTAAGCATAAATTGGGTAACCCCAGGTAATGGTAGCTGTGAGCTATGTTTCATGATCTTCACCCAATGCCTTTTAACTGATCTCTACTACTCGCTTGTGAGACTCACTGGCTGGTGTGTGATCTCCAACCTCAATTTGGGTAATCCCCAGGTTGTATTGGCTGTCAGCGGTCTTCTCATGATCTTCACCCAATACCTTTTGTCTGATGTTTAGTGCTCGCTTGTCCGACTCAGTGGCTGAGGTGTGATCTTTAGGCATAAATTTAGTATGTTTATTCTCAAACCATATATTGGGTACCCCCAGGTTAAAGTAGCTGTCAGCAGTCTTCTCATGATCTTCACCCAATACCTTTTGTCTGATGTTTAGTGCTCGCTTGTCCGACTCAGTGGCTGAGGTGTGATCTTTAGGCATAAATTTAGTAATTCCCAACTCATAGTAGCTACAAGCGGTGTTCTCATGATCTTCACCCAATATTTTTTTCTCTGATGTTTGGTACTAATTGTGTGACTCAGTGGCTGGGACGTAATCTTTAAGCATATATTGGACAATCCCCAGGGAAAAGGAGCTGTCAGCGGTCTTCTCATGATCTTCACCCAATACCTTTTGTCTGATGTGTAGTGCTCGCTTGTGTGACTCAGTGGCTGAGGCGTAATCTTTAAGCATAAATTGGGTTTCCCCTAGGTGAAAGTAGCAGTCAGCGGTCTTCTCATGATCTTCACCTAATACCTTTTGTCTGATGTTTAGTGCTCGCTTGTGTGACTCAGTGGCAGAGGCGTAATCTTTAAGCATAAATTGGGTGTTTCCCAGGTTAAAGTAACAGTCAGCGGTCTTCTCATGATCTTCACCCAATACCTTTTGTCTGATGTTAAGTGCTCCCTTGTGTGACTCAGCAGCTGAGGTGTAGTCACTTAACTCATATTGGGCTTTCCCCAGCTTATAGAAGCTGTCAGCGGTCTTCTCATGATCATCACCCAATACCTTTTGTCTGATTTGTAGTGCTCGCTTGTGTGACTTAGTGGCTGAGGCGTAATCTTTAAGCATATATTGGGTAATCCCCAGCTCATAGGAGCTGCAAGCAGTGTCCTCATGATCTTCACCCAATACGTTTTGTCTGATGTTTAGTGCTCGCTTGTGTGACTTAGTGGCTGAGGTGTAATCTTTAAGCATAAATTGGGTGTTTCCCAGGTTAAAGTAGCTGTCAGCGGTCTTCTCATGATCGTCACCCAATACCTTTTGTCTGATGTTTAGCGCTCGCCTGTGTGAATCAGCAGATAAGGTGTAATCTTTAAGCATATACTGGGTAACCCCCAGGTTAAAGTAGCTCTCAGCAGTCTTCTCATGATCTTCACCCAATACCTTTTGTCTGATTTTAAGTGCTCGCGTGTGTGACTTAGTGGCTGAGATGTAATCTTTAAGCATATATTGGGTAATCCCCAGCTCATGGTAGCTGCAAGCAGTGTTCTCATGATCTTCACCCAATACCTTTTGTCTGATGTGTAGTGCTCGCGTGTGTGACTCAGTGGCTGAGGTGTAATCTTTAAGCAAATATTGGGTAATCCCCAGCTCAGAGTAGCTGTCAGCGGTCTTCTCATGATCCTTACCCAATACCTTTTGTCTGATGTTTAGCGCCCGCTTGTGTGAATGAACGGATAAGGTGTAATCTTTAAGCATATACTGGGTAACCCCTAGGTTAAAGTAGCTCTCAGCAGTCTTCTCATGATCTTCACCCAATACCTTTTGTCTGATTTTTAGTGCTCTTTTGTCCGACTCAGCGGATGATGCGTAATCTTTGAGCATATATTGGGTAATCCCCAGCTTATGGAAGCTGTAAGCGGTGTTCTCATTCTCTTCACCCAATACCTTTTGTCTGATGTTTAGTGCTCGCGTGTGTGACTTGGTAGCTGAGATGTAATCTTTAAGCATAAATTGGGTAATCCCCAGCTCATGGCAGCTGCATGCGGTCTTCTCATGATCTTCACCCAATACCTTTTGTCTGATGTGTAGTGCTCGCGTGTGTGACTCAGTGGCTGAGGTGTAGTCTTTAAGCAAATATTGGGAAATCCCCAGCTCAAAGTAGCTGTCAGCGGTCTTCTCATGATCCTTACCCAATACCTTTTGTCTGATGTTTAGTGCTCGCTTGTGTGACTTAGTGGCTGATGTGTAATCACATAACATGTATTGGACATTCCCCAATTTAAAGTAGCTTTCAGCGGTCTTCTTGTGATCTTCGCCCAAAACCTTGTGTCTGATGTTTAGTGCTCGCTTGTGTGACTCAGCGGATGAGGTGTATTTTTTAAGCATATATTGGCTAACCCCTAAGTTAAAATAGCTGTCAGCGGTATTCTCATGATCCTCACTCAATTTCTTTTGTCTGATGGTTAATGCTCGCTCGTGTGAGTCAGCGGCTGAGGTGTAATCACTAACCATATATTGGATAACCCCCAAGTTAAAGTGGCTGTCAGCGGTATTCTCGTGGTCTTCACCCAATACCTTTTGTCTGATGTTTAGTGCTCGCTTGTGTGACTCATTGGCTGAGGTGTAATCGCTAAAAATATATTGGATATTCCCCAGTTTAAAGTAGCTGTCAGCGGTCTTCTCATGATCTTCACCCAATACCTTTTGTCTGATGTTTAGTGTTCGCTTGTGTGACTCATTGGCTGAGGTGTAATCGCCAAAAATATATTGGATATTCCCCAGTTTAAAGTAGCTGTCAGCGGTCTTCTCATGATCTTCACCCAAGACCTTTCGTCTGATGGTTAGTGCTCGCTTGTGTGCCTTAGTTGCTGAGTTGTAATCACTAAGCATACATTGGGTATCACCCAGGTTAAAGTAGCTGTCAGCTGTCTTCTCATGATCTTCACCTAATACCTTTTGTCTGATGTTTAGCGCTCGCGTGTGGGACTCAATGGATGAGGTGTAATCTTTAAGCATATGTTGGATAACCCCCAGCTTATAGTAGCTATCAGCGGTCTTCTCATGATCTTCACCCAATACCTTTTGTCTGATGTTTAGTGCTCGCTTGTGTGACTCATTGGCTGAGGTGTGATCTTTAAGCACATACTGGATAACCCCCAGGTTAAAGTAGCTGTCAGCGGTCTTCTCATGATCCTCACCCAAGACCTTTTGTCTGATGTTTAGTGCTCGCGTGAGTGACTTATAGGCTGAGGTGTAATCTCTAAGCATATGCTGGGTATCCCCCAGGTTAAAGTAGCTGTCAGCGGTCTTCTCATGATCTTCACCCAATACCTTTTGTCTGATGTTTAGTGCTCGCTTGTGTGACTCAGTGGCCGAGGTGTATTCTTTAAGCATATATTGGGTAATCCCCAGCTCATAGGAGCTGCAAGCGGTGTCCTCATGATCTTCACCCAATACGTTTTGCCTGATGTTTAGTGCTCGCTTGTGTGACTTAGTGGCTGAGGTGTAATCTTTAAGCACATATTGGATTACCCCCAGCTTATGAAAGCTGTCAGCCGTCTCCTCATGATCTTCACCCAATACCTTTTGTCTGATGTTTAGTGCTTGGTTGTGTGACTCAGTAGCCGAGGTGTAATCATTTAACATAGATTGCATTTCCCCCAGATTAAAGTAGCTGTCAGCGGTCTTCTCATGATCGTCACCCAATACCTTTTGTCTGATGTTTAGCGCTCGCCTGTGTGAATCAGCAGATAAGGTGTAATCTTTAAGCATATACTGGGTAACCCCTAGGTTAAAGTAGCTCTCAGCAGTCTTCTCATGATCTTCACCCAATACCTTTTGTCTGATTTTGAGTGCTCGCTTGTCCGACTCAGCGGATGATGCGTAATCTTTGAGCATATATTGGGTAATCCCCAGCTTATGGAAGCTGTAAGCGGTGTTCTCATTCTCTTCACCCAATACCTTTTGTCTGATGTTTAGTGCTCGCGTGTGTGACTTGGTAGCTGAGATGTAATCTTTAAGCATAAATTGGGTAATCCCCAGCTCATGGCAGCTGCAAGCGGTCTTCTCATGATCTTCACCCAATACCTTTTGTCTGATGTGTAGTGCTCGCGTGTGTGACTCAGTGGCTGAGGTGTAGTCTTTAAGCAAATATTGGGAAATCCCCAGCTCAAAGTAGCTGTCAGCGGTCTTCTCATGATCCTTACCCAATACCTTTTGTCTGATGTTTAGTGCTCGCTTGTGTGACTTAGTGGCTGATGTGTAATCACATAACATGTATTGGACATTCCCCAATTTAAAGTAGCTTTCAGCGGTCTTCTTGTGATCTTCGCCCAAAACCTTGTGTCTGATGTTTAGTGCTCGCTTGTGTGACTCAGCGGATGAGGTGTATTTTTTCAGCATATATTGGCTAACCCCTAGGTTAAAATAGCTGTCAGCGGTATTCTCATGATCCTCACTCAATTTCTTTTGTCTGATGGTTAATGCTCGCTCGTGTGAGTCAGCGGCTGAGGTGTAATCACTAACCATATATTGGATAACCCCCAAGTTAAAGTGGCTGTCAGCGGTATTCTCGTGGTCTTCACCCAATACCTTTTGTCTGATGTTTAGTGCTCGCTTGTGTGACTCATTGGCTGAGGTGTAATCGCTAAAAATATATTGGATATTCCCCAGTTTAAAGTAGCTGTCAGCGGTCTTCTCATGATCTTCACCCAATACCTTTTGTCTGATGTTTAGCGCTCGTTTGTGTGACTCAGCGGATGAGATGAAATTTCTAAGCATATACTGGGTATCCCCCAGGTTAAAGTAGCCGTCAGCGGTATTCTCATGATCTTCACCCAAGACCTTTCGTCTGATGTTTAGTGCTCGTTCGTGTGACTTATTGGCTAAGGTGTAATCTTTAAGCACATATTGTATAACCCCCAGGTTAAAGTAACTGTCAGCGGTCTTCTCGTGATCCTCACCCAATACCTTTTGTCTGATGTTTAGGGCTTGCTTGTGTGACTCGGCGGATGAGGTGTAATCTTTGAGCATATGTTGGATAACCCCCAGCCTATGGTAGCTGTCAGCGGTGTTCTCATGATCTTCACCCAAGACCTTTCGTCTGATGGTTAGTGCTCGCTTGTGTGCCTTAGTTGCTGAGTTGTAATCACTAAGCATATATTGGGTATCACCCAGGTTAAAGTAGCTGTCAGCTGTCTTCTCATGATCTTCACCTAATACCTTTTGTCTGATGTTTAGCACTTGCTTGTGTGACTCAACGGATGAGGTGTAATCTTTAAGCATATGTTGGATAACCCCCAGCTTATAGTAGCTATCTGCGGTCTTCTCATGATCTTCACCCAATACCTTTTGTCTGATGTTTAGTGCATGCGTGAGTGACTTAGTGGCTGAGGTGTGATCTTTAAGCACATACTGGATAACCCCCAGGTTAAAGTAGCTGTCAGCGGTCTTCTCATGATCCTCACCCAATACCTTTTGTCTGATGTTTAGTGCTCGCGTGAGTGACTTATAGGCTGAGGTATAATCTCTAAGCATATGCTGGGTATCCCCTAAGTTAAAGTAGCTGTCAGCGGTCTTCTCATGATCTTCACCCAATGCCTTTTGTCTGATGTTTAGTGCTCGCTTGTGTGACTCAGCGGATGAGGTGTAATCTTTAAGCATATGTTGGATAACCCCCAGCTTACAGTAGCTGTCAGCGGTATCCTCATGATCTTCACCCAATACCTTTTGTCTGATGTTCAGTGCTCGCTCGTGTGACTTATTGGCTGAGTTGTAATCTTTAAGCACATATTGGATAACCCCCAGGTTAAAGTAGCTGTCAGCGGTCTTCTCATGATCCTCACCCAATACCTTTTGTCTGATGTTTAGTGCTCGCGTGAGTGACTTAGTGGCTGAGGTGTAATCTCCAAGCATATATTGAGCAACCCCCAGGTTAAAGTAGCTGCGCGCGGTGTTTTCATGATCTTCACCCAATACTTTTTGTCTGATGTTTAGTGCACGCTCGTGGAACTTTGCGGCTGAGGTGTAATCGCTAAGTGCATTTTGGGTAACCCCCAGCTCATGGTAGCTGTCGGCGGTCCTCAGATGTTCTTCCCCATGCAATTGAATTCTGATGTCGAGTGCAAGCTTGTGAGACTCCGCAGCTGAGTTATAATCTCCTAGTCTGCATTTTGTAAACCCTAATTCTGAGTATACATCGGCAGTCTTGGCATTTTTTTCACCGAAGAGTTCTAAGATGATGGTAAGAGCATGCTGTTTTGAGGTGAAAGCTTCTGAAAAGTGACGTAGGCAATGTTGATTCTTCCCTTGTAGCAAATACCACTCTGCTAGAGCTTCTTTTTGTAGACTAGAGGTAACGTTTTCTTCGCCTGTCGTCCCCTTTTGCAGTGAATTTAGGTGGCAGGTTATTAGTTTCTGAGTTAGTGATAAGCCTTCCTGATACTTATGAAACGTACTTAGCATAGTAATTGCGTTTGCTTGAAATCTAAACCATCCAGGTTTCGTCACTTCATTGGTTGACTCGATGCCTTGAAGTATTCTGAGAAATAACTTGATTGAAAAATCCCTAATTTCAGTTGAAGACATAATTTTAATTGCGCTGACCACAAGATAGATCACTGCAATTTCAATGGCTTCGTTTCCAAGATTTTCTGTACTTGAGGGTACCTTGTGTTCGTCCCAATAATTCGCTTCTCCGTTATTATCCGGAATTACTAATAGATGCATGTCTTCTGCCTCTCTGCATTCTTTCACTGCTCTGTCGTAGAACGTGGCTGACATCTCGTGGTCGCCTTTTGCGCATCGATAGAAAATAGCAAGGATTTGAAGTATCATAAGTCTCAGAACTTTATGCTCAGCAGTTTTGTTCAGAAGGGAAATAGCTTCTTTTAAACTTCCAACTCCCTCTTGCGTCTTTCCTGCCACAAGCTGATAGATGCCAGAGTAGCACAAGTGTTTGCCTCTCTCTTCGGGACAAGTGGTGGTGGTTAAACTTTGAAGTTTACTGGTCTCCGAAAGCAACAGCATTGTATTCCCACTTCCTCCCCAAATAATGTAACCAAACGCCTTGGATTGAAGTAGTTGTCTGTGGAGAACACTTCGTCCAAGCTGACTAGCTGCCTTTACTGCTGATTGAAAAATCTTCTCGAAATTAAGTTCGTTGTTGTAAAAAGCAGTGGCAAGAAAAACCTCTGCTTTTGCCAAAACTTGAAAAACTCTGTCTGCTGCCTTGTCGTTTGTGCAACCATCCATCAAACTTTTTACAATACTTCTTTCATTGTCGAAGAACTCGATCAATGCTTTCATGGAGTGTCCTGTCAGGAACATCTCATTGAGTTTCTCAGCCAAGTCAATGTAGAATAATAAAAAGCGAGTGTTCGCAATCAGAACTGTTTCTTCCATCTCACGTCTACCCTTGTTTTTTGCAAAGGATTGCAAAAGTTTGTGAATGGAGAATTTGTCCGAATTTGAACATCTATCCATGAGGGCCCTCCCTTGTAGTCTTCCCAAAACTTTCCTAGTTTCGATGGAGCTCTCTAAAACAGCTGTAGCAATCTTAAGATCAAATGTTTCTGGAAGAACACTCAAAGACACCAGTGCTTCTTGGTCCTGCGAAGACAGTCTCTGGAAAGACGATTCAAATAGGGTTTTAAGCCTTGCATCACTGGTATGTACTGGGTTGTCCAGCAATTCAAGTAGGCTACTTTCAGACAGCATTAATTCATCAAGATCTGCACTACATTGGACGTAATCGTCAGAGAGCGACTTACACAACAACCAAATAGCTAAGGGCACCTGTCCGCACATCTGCGCGATTTTCACTGCGTCAGAAGAGCTCGCCTTTGGAAGTAAGTTTTTCACCAAAGCTTTTGAGGATGACTTGTCGAGTTCTCCTATTCTGGTGGACTTGTGTCCCTGTAAAGACATATCCAAATGGGCCATTGACTCCCGCGTGGTTAGGAGAAATTTGACCTTTTCGCTGCGGTTTAGGATATCTTTCAGCAGATTCACAGTCCCCTTTTTCACATCTGGCTCGCCACATTCAAACAAATCATCGGCATTATCAAGGATCAACACACATGGATCCGATAGCCTTTCAAAAATGAATCCAATTTCATCGTCAGCTTTTAAACCCTGTTTGGCCGATTTATCAGTTCGGAAGTGGCTAAGTAATTTTGACGTTAAATCACCTTTTGAGGTAAGCCCGCGTAGTGAGATAAAGTAGACAGTTCGACCGCGCTTTTGAAGCTGGTGACCCACAGCGATTGCGGTAGACGTTTTTCCAAACCCTGGTGACCCCCAGACTGATACGATTTGCGTTGAATCAGAATTCACGTGACCAATAATCTCTTCACATTCTTTTTCACGGCCAGTAAAGTGAGAAGGAAGATTCAATCGTGAAAAACGTGGTTTAAATCCTACAAAGAAAGTTGGTTTTAGACAAGGAAAACATAATGTGCAATGGCCTTTACAGGATCAGTCGGTATGCACTCAAAATCTTTGGTGGTACAAGGGTAGTGAACAGAACAAATAAAGAAGACTCGACTGCGCCTTATTCTGTAGCGGGAGGTGGCGATAGCATGAAAGAGGCATATAGAGAAACACTACTTTAAGTTGAGTATTTCTTATCCCTCCTTCGTGGCTGCAATCACAACGGTTTAATCAATCTTTGACAGAACATAGCAGAGTCGAGGCTTTTTTGTTTTTTCTCTTTATACATATATGTTATTTGCCGGCTGGGAGGTCCGTATGGTGAAAAACTGCAGCATTTTCAAGACCGAGGTCACAGTTTTTCACCATACGGACCGACCCTTAGCCGGTAAATAACATATTTATTTTTTTGAAACTTGACGAAATCATATCAAACTCATAGGGTACAAATAGTCTTAACATGAATGTAGTGACCACGCCCACTTCAACACCCCTCTCAAATCGAGTGTAATTTTCGAATGTTTTACTATCGTGCGGATTCTCTACGGAAAGAGCACTCAGTGTACCTCTGAAATATTAAACTATAATATTGTGGTTTTCTATTTCGCTAATTTTCTAACTTGAAGGTAAAGTTTTTCCCTCGTCATTTTTACCTCAATTTCTGAGCGGTTGCTTGAAATTAACAAGGCGTTTTTGATCAAAACACCACCGAGCGAAGGGTCTCGGGCGATATCTCTTTTACGCAAGCGCAAATTAAAAATGTACGCCAGTACCGCCAGAATCAAAAAGAGGAACAAATTTCCTTTGTTTTGATATGTAAAGTGTCGAACAAAAAGCAGATTTACCCTCGTCAAATGGCGTTTCAAAACAGCTGTATCTTCCTCCTTTTGATTTTTTCCTGTTTTGTAAGCGTGAAAGCAGTAGGAGAGGGATCGGGAAACTCAGAAAGCGCTTCGGGAATTAATCTGCCATCGTTTACTTACAAGATAAACAAGTAAGATTTGTGAAGTTCGTTGAAGTATGAAGTCTAAATAAATGCCTTTTTTTAATCTTGTTTGCTGGATTTTTCGTAAGCTTCCTTGATTAATTTTTCGTTTCAGCTTACTAATCTATACTATTTCAAAGCAATTTAAAGACGAAGACGGAGAACCATGAGTCGGTCCTTTCAACAATCGTAAACAAAGTGTTTGTGCAATCAGGTATACGAGGTGTAATAATCAATAGCCGCGTATCAGAAGTCTTCAGAAAGAAAGTATTCTGTCTTCAGAAAGCTGTCAAGAAAGCTAAATGCACTTCTTAGCAAGTTGGAAACGGGCCCTCGGTATCGATTTAATATCATATCGATCTAAATATCATACAGTTTTTTACCTTTTTCCGTGGATTCACCTTTCTAACGAGGGTGTATGTTGAGTATTCATTGCAAAATCGCTTTGTTTTTTTAATTTCCCTCTTTGGCTTGTCCGCCATTTTGAAAATTCGTAACGGAGAGCATGCGCATTACGTGGGGTTAGTGGTTGCGTACACCTGGAACCGAGAAAAACAAATGTTCGTCGCACTGGGGAAAGAGTTTGATATGTTTTCCGAAAGAACCCGAATGATTTAGGGCTGTAAATACGGCAAGATCTTTCATAAACTGAACAGTTTTTGAGTGAGTAAATGGTAGTTAAAATAGAGATGATGCAAATTCAAGAGAGATGCCTCAGCGAAACATTTTCATTTCCGTAACGATGATTTAAAAGGCTTCCAAACAAACTTTGAAACATTATTTTTACAAGTATCTGTCACAATCTGACACCTGTCAATTAGAGAGCGTGTAAGTAAAAAAAACGTAAGAACATTTGAAAAACAACGGAACTAGTTTGGCAAGGACTGTCACGACAATGTTTTCTTCAAAAACAGTCAATGTCAATGATCTAACGGAAAGTATTATTCACTCTCATCGATGATTCATTCATGTACGAAGATTTATCTCTGTTCATTAAGTAAACGGCGAGGAAAGTAATTGTGAGTAAATTCAATTTTTTTATTTTGAAGTTGTGAGAGTTTGCTCGTTTGTTTGCTGCAATGGCGTGTGTAAATCTGGTCTTTCCTTAACAAAAACTAAATTCGAATGGCACACTCCAACGAGACACAAGGGGATTTAATGCGGCCTTTTCTCAAAAAATTCCTTCAGTTTCTGTTGTGCAAGTTACGGTACAAATGTTCAAATTGAACGGACTTGGAAAGTCTCACCGAGAGCGTATATTTGTTGTAGAACTTAAATTAAAACTTCGCTCAATCTTTCACTGCGAACAAATTGCTTGAGAAAATTCAGGTATTAAATGAATGAAAGTTCCATCGTTCAGTTTAACTGTAACCAAATACCTCACGTTTTAACTTTCTAGGTAATTTTTGTGAACGATTAAAATTAATTGCTGACGGGTTTTAGGCCGCTTGTCAACCAACGTAATGACACTATTGTTTATACAAATTCATTCTGAAACCAATATTTTTCTGTCAACCAAAGTGATTTGAGTGAAAGAAAAGAGAGGATTCATAAGTTATTCATCGGCTTGAGGTAGTGACCGACGTGTTTGCTTAAAAATACTGCTCAGCCGGAAAAACGAGAAACCCTTATGAAAAATGGCAACGAAAGTTGGGATGTACTTGGCGACTCACGAAAGCGTTACCGTGGCCCGTGGGCAGAGATAGGAAAATACTGGCCGGGTAAGGAACCAATCAAATTGCAAGATTCGTTACCGTGCCCTCTCAAAAAAAGTAAAGATTTAATACTTCAACCTATGACATAGATGCGTCATTCAGCAGAAAAGAATGAAATGAATATAAGATCCCAAAGGCCTATTTTCATAGGTTATCCTCATTTCCGCGCTGATCAACGGCATTGAAATAAATTAATTAGATATAGCAGTATTTCTACCTCAGAAAAACGTATATAAATTGTTGAGAAAATGAAATTTCCGTACAGTCCCTTTTTGCCTTGTCACGAAACTTGTTTTTTCCGAGAGAACGCATTGTCTGTAGATTACATGCAAGACTATACAACGACTGTGAAGGACACCAAATCATGAGTAGCGCTAAAAGATCGCTCGGTGAAACCTAATGAATAAGCGGTTCGAGTTCTGGTCGAATCAGAATTACAAAAAAACCGCGTTTTAATTTGCTATTTACCTGAACTTTGCGGCTCCCCCAGAAGGTCTTTCATCTCTTGGCTAAACTCGTCAATCTTGTCAACCATCCTTCCTTCACTAGCAGCGATTGCCTCTTTCAGGTTCTCGGTGTCGTCTTTGTGGGATTCCTGTAAAAGATGTAGTTCATCTTTAACATCTTCTCTGACAAGTCTGCTTTCAGTTTGAAGCTCGGCAAACTTAGTTTCAATCGTGCCTTGGGTAGTGGCATTTTCAGATTTGATTGTCTTCTTTAGCTCTTCAGTACCTTCCTTTTGAGATTTCTGTAAAAGCTGCAAGTCATCAATAACTTCTTCTTCTAGGAATTCGTTTCTTTTTTGAAGCTCTTTTCTGACGTCATCCTCTAACTTGCGAACTTTCTCGATGGGAAAGTCAGACTCAGTCAAACTTCCAACAGCATCAATAGTGTCAGTATTAACTCTAAGGGCTTTCATTGCGTCTTTAGCGAGTTGAACGTATCGATCAAATTTTATTTTGTCCAATTCAGATTTATTTAAATGACAGAGTGAATTTCTCAACAATCGAAGCTGATCGATCGCCAGTGCAAAGGTTTCTGCTTTATCTCCGGTCGAGCTAACTACAGAAGAATGGAAAGTACCATGTGGTAATTTACAGGACATCAAGTACAAATAATGAAGTATCCTGTGATGGCCTTTGCTATCTGGCAAAGCAAAGGACCGTGCATAGATAGTAGCTTGGAACAGGGCTGTGCAATCCCATTCATCATAGGAGAGATGGGTGGGGACTTTGGATTTTCCACCTTCAGTACTTAAGAACAAGTTACGTACAGCATGAGAGTCATCCCAGGACTGAAAACCAGGACGTGACGCAAAGGTGTTGTTCCACATCTGTTTAAAAGTTTGCCGTAATGCTTTAGGAATCTCATTCAGCACGATGAAAGCAAACTTGAAATAATTCAATTGTTCATTGGTAAATAGTTGTAAGGCCATTCTACTCAACGACCGGGTGTCACGGAATCTGAGAAATAACAAAAAAAACAAAAACAAAAACAAATCAAAAAAAAAAGCTGAAAGTTATTTCTACGGATATGTTCTCTGAAAAAACGTTTCCTTTCGATTTATTAAAGAAGGGTCATTGTTAACCCGCGCCTTTCGTTAATAATAACTGCTTGTAAGGTTGTAGGATAGCTAAAGACGAAACAAAACCAATCAAAAGAAATGCTTTTATGCAAGATGCTCCAGAAGTCAGTAAGATTAACAATTGGTTCATTCGTCAGCGTGCGTTCATCGAGATATGAAGCAAGATGCGTAAGAGTTGCTCGAGGCGTAGCCGAGAGCAACTCTAACTTCTTGAGTGCTCTCCAAATTTCCCAAGTGCTTCATATCTCGATGAACACACAGCTGACGTATGAACCAATTGTTTTATAACATTTTCAACTCGATGGAAAATCTTTTTCTCGAGGGATTTGTTTGCTGACGTCATGAGCGTGCACAATAGGAATATGAAGCACGCTCGCGCAATTGAATTTGATTAGACAAATTTACTAGCTATGTTATAATAACAATTGGTTCATTCGTCAGCGTGCGTTCATCGAGATATGAAGCACGCGGGAAGTTTGGAGGGCACGAAAGATGCGTAAGAGTTGAATCATTCCATTAATATTGTGATTCCGCTTAGCTACGAGGCGGGATTGTATCGCATTTAAAGCAATATAGCTTGACGAGACATTTTAACATACCTCTAGTATTATGGTTACTTCGAATCCTTTTGAAAAACGAGGAGTGTTGTATATGATCGATTTTCGATTTTCGCAACCCCCACTTATTTCATTCAAACGTCACAAAAACATAAGCAACTTTTTAGTCAGGAGTTCATTTCAAGCCAATGACCAATATGGAACTTTTAAATGCGCTCGCTCACGATGCAAAACTTGTCCTTTGATTCATAGCGTAGAAATAATATCGGGACCCAAGAGATCCATTAAGATCATTGATCACTTTACGTGTACCTCCGCCAATGTCATTTACTGCATAACTTGCACTTATTGCAATAAGTTTTACATCGGCGAAACAGGAAGACGACTAGGTGACCGATTCCGAGAACACCTTCGCGACTTGGAAAGAAATGACAAGGACGCATCCAAACCAGTCGCTAGACGCTTTAATCTTCCTAATCATTCTAAACAGCACATGGTAGTTTGCAGCCTTTCCTTACATCTAGGCAGTTCGGAAAGCCGTAAAACATTAGAACAAAAATTTATCTTCCAAATCAGCACCCTTAATCCCCACGGAATCAACGAGCGCTTTTCATTCAACTAATTTATTCCTGTTTTCTCGTCACCATATTCCCACCAATGGCGTAGCTCCACTTTCTGCATATGAACCCACACAACACCCACAATTCCTCCAATCGCTCTGACGAAGGGCTAACGCTCGAAACGTCAGCTTTTTTACCCTATTCGGTGGCTAATTTACGTTTTCAACCCAGTTGTTAACACTAAATTACCTGCTATACTCTCTCACCGACGCAGCACCACAGTTTCTTTAGAAACTTACCCCTTTATTACGCTGACTATAAGTTTAACATCTTCCGCTTCCCCATCATTTTCATACTGAACACGCATGCGGCCTGTGCATCATCGATACCTACACTATATTTGATGGTTTAACACATAATACACGCGGATATTGTGCGAGTTGCGAAATATTTTTCCAAGCCTCGGATGGGGCGAAGAAGAATACGAATAAATAGAGAATAAAACATGGGCGCGCGTAGATATGAAATTTCTCTTCGAGTGTTTAACAGTCCGGGTCATAACCATTTCTGGATACTTCATGACGTCACCAACATGGCTGTCGTAGTGGGACCTTGAGGAAACTCACTCATTACTTTATTCGAGCCCTAGCGACTTCGTTCCCTACCCATATCCCATGAAACCTTGCAAAATTACAGAAGACAAGCAATTACACACAACAAGCAAAGAACTGATGGTGGTCGCGATGACGAGACAGAAAAATTCAGATGAAAAGTCGGGTGGAGGTCCATGTTGCGAAGGGCTCAGTCGAGGAATAACCTCTCTTTAGTTGAGGTTTTCAGGTATGCAACATTTTTTTTGATTCCTAAAAAAAATCTTTTAAAAAACTAGAATAAATTTGCTTCCAATTTGTCAAAATTCCAATCGAGTGCACGAATGTTGAAAGTCTGTTAGTGTGCAAACTACCAGACGGATTCCTTTGTTCAGATCCACCGGAGTATCATGTAAACCATAAATTTTAACCATACGTTGTGGCCGGCCAATTTAAAGTAAAAGGACAATTATTTATCGGACCTTTATAAGCCTACATTGTGAATTTCAGATCAAGCCAACAGCATGGATGAACACATTCAGTATCTCGAGACACTTTGTCGTCTTTGTGGCACAAATCTGCCATAGACCTGGGTCAGTGCTACAAACAAAGAATCTTTTAAATCGGGGCTCTGGATGAAATTTCGAATCAATGTCGATCTTGACATCAGAGAGATTCATTCAGCCAAGGCGAATGCACACTAAAAAATAATTTCAGGAAATCACGGATCTAACACATAAATGTGATTATCCAGCGATACAGTTCTCCTTCGGGCAAACATAAAACAAAGAGGTATTCGTTCACTGAGCTCTCACATCTTCAGGTATTGTATCCGGGAAATGTGCGATAAGAGCGGCATGAAGATGAAAATAAAGAAATCACATTGGTGGAAAGCCTTGCCGAGGTGTCTCTATTACAGCATTCCGGAAACAAAGGTTGGAGTTTAACTACACGAACTGATGAGAGTGAAATTTTCGTCTAAAACCACAAGGGACTTGTCTGTAATTGTGAAACTCGTTTAGAAACACCGCTCGTGCTTTCACATTTTGCAGTGATTACCTAAACAAACTTTCTATACAGGGTGTTCAAATCAAAGAGTAATTGTAAAGGACATATTATTGCTGACTAAAAGCTGTAGGACCGAATTTGTAGTGTTCTGAGACCTAGATTCTCCCGCGAATCGATCAATAGCGCGCAAAATACCTTGTATGATTCTCTTGCATTGAATTCGATCATGTGTATTCGTCTTAATATAGATTGTGACTACTTGCTTTTATTTAATCCCACTCATGTATTTATTGGCGTTTATTTTCCAGGTATCACAATTTCAAGATCAAAGCTCCACGTGGAACACCGCTTGTTATTCAAAGTGAACACGACAACACGTATGACTCGCATGCACTGGCTTGTCTTCTCCCACGAGAAATGGAACGCATTCCAGAGGCTCTACGAGAAGTCCAGATTTTCAGCAAATCGCAGAGAAAGACATACACTTTAGGAGATGTCAAAGGGCAGCAGATCGGCACGGTTCAGCACTTTCTAAACATACAGCTGCATGCTTTGCTCCGATGTGGCAAAATAACCAGGAATTGAAGGGTAAGTTACTGTTTTCTTGCTTTACTGTTACTTTTTCGTAAAGGCTTGATGGACTGAAATTGATAATGTCTATTTAAAAATCGGAGAGAAGCAAGATATTGTCTTTCCTCGACCTATATTGGAGAGAAATGAAATTGTCCCGATTCCGCGATCTCACACCTCACTCGTTCCAATTGTTATCAGTGCGCGTTATTTGGTTCAACCTTATTTAATTGGTTTTCTTGTAACCCAAAATAGGGAAATCAACGGAGAACGGACAGTAACATCAAGGCCAAGCTCTACCCAGAAGTTCTCCAGATACAAACAGGCTGGCGGAGTAGCTTTTATTCCCATGACGCTCTTGGTGGAAGGACCACAGCGTTACAAAGAATTTGTGCCAGAAAGAATCCGCTTTGCTCTTCCAGAATGCGAGAATGTCGAGGACATGCATGTTGAATGTTTGAAATAAACGAATATTTTCAATGGTATCTTACGTCCAGTCCTTATTAGCGAATTTTGTTTCAGCTTACTACCGCATTACAACATGGCCGCCACAAAAAAAAAAAAACCGGCTTCTTCTTCTTGTTTCCAGTACCTCACGGCCAAATTTGCTTTGTTTTGGTTTTGATCTCACCCAATCACAAAGCTCGAAACCGATATCCAGAAATGGTTATGGCCCGAACTGTTTAACTCGAGAAGAGAAATCCACATCTACAAGCAACCATGTATTACTTTGTTTATCATAAAAACACAATAGCCCTTTACTGGGAAGAAAAGCCGACTTCATTAATGAATGAAAATAAATGAATTGACAATCCTCGAATAACAATCGTAGAGTGCGTAGGCGCTGACTCTTAAGATGGAAAAATGCTTTGAATCATGATTACAAAAACAACAATGGTCGTAATTTTCAATTTACAAAATTCTCATTTATTGACTTTGTCCTTACCAACAGAAGAAGTCTTTCAGGTAAACGGCCAAAATCGGCTAATGGCAAATCTTTCAGTTGTCGATTTTCATTCTCAGCCGAGAGAAATGCTAACACCAAAGCCACTGAATACGCAACTTTCGGTTGTTCTTTTAGTATATTGGTTTTTTTCCCCTTCTTGGAAAGTTTGAACCTCATTGTCTGTCAGCGATACGGATTTTTTTAGTGTTTTAGCCGCCATAATTCGAGAAAGCTCCGACAAACAACTTGTATTGAGAATCGTGAAGGCTTTGCCGTTCATTCATCTACCTGACCGAGTGGCGCCAAAGGCGAATGACGAGTAAGCAGCTGATTGGCTATATCAACAAACGTGAAAAAATACGATATTTTTTCACGTGTGTTGTTACGGCTTTTCGCAGGGCTGGAAATCCTTATATAACACCGCAGTCTATGTGATAATAAACAAAATGTCCGCTCGTATTTTAAGTTGAACCATCGAATAAGGTGTACGTCCGCCGCACGTGTGTTGGAAAAGCGGGAGGTTCTATCGTTTCAGCTTTACCGAACATCTTTTATTTTTATGATTAGCTTTGGTTTTATCAGACATAATTAGCTTACACTTTTGGGAATTTTGTCGGGA